AACTTTCTCTGTTTATAAAAGAAATCTACTCAATGAGCTTAACATACAAGATATACACACAGAAAAATGTACAAATTCTAGTACCCCTCCCTGGAAAACACCAAACATTGCAGCTGATCTGACCTTAACTAAATACAACAACTGCAGTCCATCAAAAGAAGAACGGATCACTACCTTCTCTGAATTCATCTAAAATTATAACATCTACTGTATTTTATACATTAAAGGAAGTGATAAACATGCCAGCTGCTCTACTGCAAATGTCAGCAGAAATTAATAGCAGCACTTAAATATGTAATCCAAATACACAAATCTAATTTTATCATCTTTTCAGACTCATTGCCAATAATAAATAAAGTTATCAACACAAGTATTAAATCAGAAATAATATCTATTATACAAGATCTACTCTGCAGGATCCATTCTACAAGGAAAACTATCACTCTTGCCTGGACATCACCTGTACTAGAACATCATGTTACAAATAGTGAAATAGAAGAATAACCATAGTTGTTAATCTGAAGATGCACAACCCATCCTACAGTCTCACCAATAATTTGAAGCATGTTGAGGAACTAATGAAGGTAAAATGGAATGGTAGATGGAAAGAATACAAAGCAAGCGGTATACATAAAACTCTTGAAAACTTTATGGCATTGATAACCAATAAATAACTTAGCCAAAGAGAACAAGTGGTTTTAACAAGAATTCGGACAGGACATTAAAAAATAATTCATCTTCACCTACTACAAAAGAACCCCCCCCCCCTGCCCAAACTTGTGACGTATGTATTTGTACTCGGACCACATGATTGAGTCATGTTCCATGTTTTCCTTACAGCAGAAAAACCTCTTTCAGGGATTGGACGTTGGTGCACTGTTGTATGCCCATCAAAATCAAGTGGTTACGTTTTGTAAAAGTATTGGTATTGTGGGGAAATTTGAGTTCAAATTAACATGCTAATAATTGTGAAAAGTGTTATCTTGTATTATTGTATTGTATTCAGGTTTTGTAACAATGTAGTGTTGTATTGGGATTTATATTTAAACATGTGTATTTGATATTGTAATTGGTGTGGTCACTAATGATCTTGCAGTTGTTGCCACCTAAAATAAATAAATTTAAAAAAAAGTTATCTAATTCATTTTTGATTGTCAGCATAATCTCTAATTGTACAGAATCAGTTACACAGCAGAAAAGATTTTACTGGGCTCTTCACCTAGTGGATCAATTTTAGTTTAATGTCACCCTGTAATCAAAATCATGAAGATTGAAGAGTAAAGAATAAGAGATATTGAGGGAGATAAAACATAAGCTGTTCTGGCAATAAAAGAAACCAAAGAGAAGTTAAAATGAATACAGAAAGTGGAGAATATTATGTAAAATACAGTGGGGGTAGAAATTCATAAAACAGCGTCTGTGAGAATGCTTGTGAGGATCACAATATATAACTACAGAAAAAAAAGATAAGAAGTTACGTGTACTAAATTTCTGGAAAAAAGATTAAGCCAGAATGAGAATGCAGAGGTTACCAAATTGTAGTAGGAGTTTATATACCCAAAGAGGAAAGAAAAGGTGACTTCTCTAAAGACTATAAGTATAAGATGTACCTACAGGTAATGTAAACAAAGATAACTCCTTCCTTGTAATTGCAAGATGTATTTTGGCTAGAATATGAAAAAATAAAGAATAGACCAATTTCAAATGTTGCAAGCACAGTGATGAAATAAGAGAATGAAAAGAAGAAAATCTGAAAAGCAATTTGCAATACATTATAAATGCCACATAACTAATATTTACTTCATTATTTCAAGAATAAAGACATCCGAAAATATCCATAAATAAACTTCACAGAAAAATAATATGCAGATAAACATCCACAAAGAAAACTAAAAGAGAAATGACTAAATCTGTTAGAAATGTTACCACTACCTCATGTTTTGAGTAAAGGTAATGCCCTCTTATGAAATCATGAAAAACAGAAATGTGAAATTTTAGTCTTAAGTGATCTCCCATCACGAATAATATCTTAAACACTTCCCCATTTAAATTCTTATAGTAGATTTGTATTATGCCAGACCTTGAATGGAAGCCTCATATTAACAATGTTGTAAAAAAGTAAATAGGGGTGTTTTTGCGAGGAAATATTAAAGAATAATGCCCAGAAAAATTCTTATTAACAATCTATTACACTTGTGTTTACACCACCTCAACAAAGGTAGGTATTTCGTTGTGAGGTAATCATTTATCCAGTAATAACCTTCTTGTTCTGCAAAAGAAAGCAATTAAATTAATTTGTGGTGCTTTTAATACGGCTCACTTTAAAACACTTTTTGTATCTCTGCGTCTTTTCACTTTTTGTCCTATGTATGTCTACACTGCTCTTGTTTATGTTACAAGAAAATAGAGTATTTTTTTTATATGTAACCAAATACACCCACACATTAGGATCAATCATTTTGAAATCAAATCTTTCAACTCTCTCTTCAGTTCTGTTACTCTGTCACATTTACAGTGACTATTTAAACATTTAATGGTCATATGGCTGAACTGCACTCCACCACGTACTTAAAATCAGATATTTTTGTATATTTTGTATATATTTTTGTATATATTACTTTTAGTTTTCAAGTATATAATAACAGGTGAGCTTCCATTGAATTGGGTATGGTATAGATTTAGTAATTTTTGTAATATTTATGTTCTTTCTTTTATGAATATTGTAAAAATCATTTTGGCTTGGCCATTTTGAACTATTTTTATAAATAAATGTTCAGTTGCACCTGATGAGGGAGACAGAACAGGCTTCAGATTGCATAAACTAAAATAAAATTATGATGTAAAAAATTTTTGGAAGTATTTATTAAGATAGTCCTAAGTTAAAAAAGGAATTGAACAACATTTATATAAAACATGAAAAGTGTCCCTATGTACAATTGTTTATCCTATGTTTTTTGTGTTAAACAATCAATCTCAATCAGCATGTGTTAACAGGTACCAAAATAATTAGATCCATCACACCCTAAGCAATCTAAATGAGAGACTAGAATCCCAAACAAGCTTACATAAACAATTCAAAGAAAAGACATAATGTTCATAAACCAAGAGAAAGGTTCCATTTTTGGTTGCACTGTAATAGGTCAAAAAGCTTGATACCATAAACCTTGGCAAATTTGCCAAATTTAAAAAAATTGTTTCTTGTTGCCCTGCCAATTCCCTCATCCAATAAATTGAAATGTTAATAAATTTATTGCACAAGACATTAAAGAACAGGATTCTTACATATTTTTAAGCAAGCAAGCTCTGATAAACTCACAAACCTTATCACATATTTGTGGGGCTGGGGTTTTGGTTTTGGGCTTGTGAAACAGGAGGTTTTGGTAGCCTACAAAAGTGTCTTGCCCTGCCCATTCAGTAAAGCTTAAAACAAAACTACTTTGTTTTTAAAGCAGCATTTAATTCTCTTTAGAGGTCCTCTATTTGAGGTAAATTCCATGTTGCATTTAGACATGATATTGCCACTTGGCAATGTTGCACAGGAAAATTTTTGAAAATTAGTCAACTTTACCAACTTAGAATTACGTTATTTTTCTCAAATTCTTAAATATTTTTTTAATAGTCCATTTTTCTTTTTTGTACATGGTAGTTAACTTTTCTCCATGTTAAATCAAAATAAAATCACCTTTTTTTCTTCATAATTTTAGTTACATTATTAACTACAAACTAAATGATAAATCTTTGCATAAATTTATAAAAATATTTATATATTAAATAATGAACATTTTTCTAATAACAAAATCATTTTTCATAAAAACTATATGAATGATTACAAGTTACTTTAAAAAAATAACAATAAGCATTTTTCATAATTTATTTCCAATAATAACTAACTCCTCTAATTATTTATAAACGTGTAGAAAATTTTTAAAAATAATTCATTTAATTAATTTTACCTGAAAAAAATACTTTAATAATAAAACTTCTACTAAGATAAAAAATCAAATTAAAATTTTTATTCTTTTAAAAATCATGTTTCCTTCATCCCCTTTGGAACTAACGTGAAAGGTGTTTTTATAGTTGCCCCATTTTCCAGGTAATTTCGCCAATATTTTTATGTTTTTAGCACAGAAAATAGTACAATTGTGTATATTATAAATTAGAAGAGCATTGAAGAAAAAAGTGGCAGTTGACTTTGTTTACGGTACTTATAGACGATGATAATGAATTTCAGTGAAGGGCTAACATTTATTTCCAATTACCAATATCAACCACATTAATAATTCGATAATTTACTTCTGCTATTCTATGTTTTCTTGTTATTTTGGATAAATGTTAAATATTATTTGGGTTAATGTTTGTTATAAATATTGAAGAGAAATTCATGTTTAGCAGTTCATGGTAAATCAAAGGTTTTCATCAGTTTTTATTTAATTTTATTTCAACTATTGTTTATATTATTACAAACATTAGTGATGTCAATTGAAATGATGTGTTATCTATCTGTTTAAATCGGCTAATGTGATTTTACGGCATCATATTTTCATTGAGCTTAAATTTATTAGCATAAAGATTGTAAGACAGTCATGTTCATTACTTTCCAAAGCGCTTTCATAATCATTATATTGTATTGCTACTCTGATTCTAATACTTTGCAAGATTTTGTTTTCAAAAATTTTAGATTATTCCAAAGGTAAAGTTGTAAACTTGAAATACGCACAAAGCCATTCGTAAACATTTCGTGAAATCATATAACTATTCCAATAACCGCCATTGTATGCCATTATCGTGTCATTGGCTCTTGTCAATCTCATGGCTGAAAAATTTGCAACATTATATGAATTATGAAAGAGTTATGTATTGTCTAATAAAAATGTATTGCTTACATTTGCCTCGATGATCCGTTTATACGATTTCAGATAAGTTCGTCAAGTCCAGCATAATACATGTAATAGCTAGCTAAAGTACTTTCTTTTTACCTTCATGTTGGGTAACCTGCGTTCAATTTGACATATGAGAACACACAAAAACACAACAGTGCTGAATTGACGTAGTAATGAAACACGAGAATAGTGATACATTTGAAATTGTTGTTGCCTGAGTAGCTGTGTGATTGACACGTATTACTCGATTCGGTAATCTGTATCTTAATTTGCATTCATCAGTATGTCTACTAGTATGGAACCTGCACAAGTGTCTGCACGTTCAGCTGTAGATATGGACTTATTAGAACCTACGTTGAACAATGTTCTTAGTCAGTTAACATTGCGTTGGATTTTTGTTGGTGGGAAAGGTGGTGTAGGGAAGACAACATGTAGGTTAGTTGCACAATTTAACAGGAAACAATTCTCCCTACTTATGAACGAGTTCCTACTTGTGACAGTATTTTGCTCTTGAAAACGTGTCAAATATTACATATGACACTTTTTTGCATGAGTTTGATCACAGTGTGTAGTAAGACATTCAACTCATCATATATTTTGTGTCAGTTTACAAATTATTACTGTCAATTTTATTTTTAAACAATTCATAATATTTTTTGTGGTTGTCTATTATTGACATTTTCATTGTAATGTTCATGAAAAGATACATAATTGCAATTGAAGCAGTTATTTTCAAAAGCTGTGGAACTGTACTGCCTGGTTATTGGAAGAGATGTCACTGACAATAACATAATAAGTAATTATTTTTAAATGTTCAAAGTTCTGATATGTTATTGTGATATGTGTTTTCAGCTGCAGCTTAGCTGTCCAGCTATCAAAAGTACGCGATAGTGTTCTTATTATCTCTACCGATCCTGCACATAATATTTCTGATGCCTTTGATCAGAAATTTTCCAAGATCCCTACAAAGGTTAAGGGATTTACAAATTTGTTTGCTATGGTAAGTTGAAAGAAATTCATTTTTTATTGAAGTTCACAAACTGAATATTCATGTGATGTAATAAAAGCTGTTGTAATATTCCGGTAGTAATGTGTATGATGGTTTATGTTACACCTTCCTAAAATTAGGAATACAAACAGTTATCTGTTCAGTGAATTAATGTTGAGAAAATTGTCTTTATTAAAGGAATGTATTACAGAAAATTGGCAGTGTTTTTATTGTACTCATACTCTCTTAGATATGATTGTTGTTGGTATTTTTTGTTGTAATAATGCATTTGGAGAATAAATAAGAAAATCTTAAGTGTTAAATTAAAGCAAGTTTTGTTATGAGAATGTAATGGTATTTTAACGGAAAAATTAACTGTAATGTTAAAGTTTACTTGAATTGTATTTGGCAAAACTCTTCAAAATTTTCTATATAATACATTGAAAATTTTAGTATGTAGGGAGGATGAAAACAATGATGTTCGTAATTTATAATGTGTCTTATATGTCAAGTTGAGTCACTTAAACTTAATTGGAAAAAATACTTTAATTATGTAAAACAGTCAGATGTAGTCAAACAGTCAGTTCAATGCACAGTTATCTGTGACACGTTATTTGAATTGTCAGGTAATATTTCAGAATGTTTTTACTTTGTTATTGAAATTTTCCTATTAGTTTGATTTTCAAAGCAGTCACTGTTTGTTAATATTAATAAGTTTCAGTAATGTAATTTAGGGCCATTTTTAATTTTACCGATTCTTTACTACTGTAAAATGGAAAGAAACCCTGATAAGTTTTTCAAAATGCAACATTACTACGTGCTGGGCTTAGAGCAAGTATTTCCACTACCTATGCAGCAACTGTGACCAAGAGGTTCTAAGATTCAAGGCCTGGCGGCAGTGGATTTTTGACTAGTTATCAGGGTTGGAAAAAACAGGGTTTCTAAAAAACTAACCCAATGGGTATATGTGGGTTTTGTTATTTTTTTATTGTAGTTCACAAAAGAAATTGATTTTCATATTTGAGAAGTCGAATTGAAATACATTCAGCAAGTATATATTTGGTACACCCAAAGATTACCCCCCCCCCCCCTGTTTTAAAAGATTTCAATCTCATGTAATTATTAATGGAAGCATCAATGTCTGTTGATGTTATTCTGTTTAGGTAATAAAGTAACAAATGGGAATTTATAGCAAATTTGCCAAACACGTTTGCATTTTATTGTAAATTTATTTTGTATTTGTGTTGTTTTGTATTGTTTGTATGATTGATATCTACAAGCATGTCAACTGCTAGAGTCATTAGTCCCTTTAGTGTGGTGAAAGACTGAGAGGAGGCAGTGTTTTTCCCCCCACTGGTTGGTGAGGCCCGCTGACCTATATGTTAGTTTGTGGGTGGTTTACCCCATCCACGTATCTCCCCCAGCAGAGCACTGTCCCCAACTGGGATAAGCTCTGAGCTCCCGACATGAGAAGTAGTGTAGTGCATGTAAGTGTAAGTTTGTTTGTAAGGGTACAAGGATAAGGAAGAGTAGGTCAGTGCAGTTCATGGCCCTATTGATAGGATATATCTCTGGAATACTCCTGATAGTGATTGGAGAAACCATGGAAGACTACTGATCAGAGCAGCTGGCAATTTGAATTCTTCTGCAGAAAGCGGCTGAATTCAACTTGGCTGTATAGCTAGTGTCTAAAATCTGCCACTGACAGTACTGGAACCTATGACTTCCCAGACAGTGTCCTGCAAGACAACGGTAATGCTGGTGCTGAACTAACCTGGCCAGTGTTGTTTGGTGTATGCGTGTGTTAATATTTTATTGTCAGCTTATTTTGTTTTCTGTTTTGTTGTTTTTCGTACATATTTTTGTGTGTTTGTTGTGACTAAATTTGAGCTTATAATTTTATGTATTGAAATATTAATTAAAAGTTGTTTTTGTATAATTTGAAATAATTTAAAAAATCATTCAATATTGCAATGGGTTTTCCAAGCATTTTTGCCTTTAAAAAAAGCCAGTAGATGGTTTGGGGCTGGGCAAAGTTTAGCCAACCACCTAACCTGGTTACTCATGGGACAATAAGAAGTAATTTTCACTTTACCTGGTAGTAAATGGTCATAAGTTTTGAGAGCTCAGCAGAAATAAATAAACATGCACAGCCAACTACATTACCTGTTGCATTTGCATAGTCAGGTATGCATTACTCTTTGTATTTGCGCAGTCAGGGAATAAAGTTTATTTTGTTCTTGTTTATAGTGATCAAATTAAAGTTTTAAATGCTAGCAAATGAAGTGTGTGTTTTATTGTCAGATTATTTTATTTGAAACAATTTAAAAGTTATTAAAGCCTTTTTTGTTTTTATTATTGGGGGAAATTTAGCCAGTTCTGTTAACTATGTAGTTAGTTAGAATTCTACCACTAGTGTGTAAACCACTTACACAGGATTACCAACCTCTGTGAAAGAAAAACGTGTCCAAGTATTAGAAATAAGATAGTATAAAAAAGACAGAAAAATTATATTGCTTTATAAATATTTTAACAATGCATCTATAGAAGAATAAGAGTTTCATTCAGGGACTATTAGTGGCTGTGTTAACAACACTAATAATTCAATATTTGATTAAATCATAATCAGATGTAATATCACCGATTAACCGAAATAAGTTTTTTTCTGTGAAAAGGTAAAATATTAAAATTTATTTGAAGTTTTAAAAAATCTGTGGAAGTAATGAGTTTTGAAAAAAATCTTTAGTTTACTATACCTTTCTTGACAATTCGTCAAATTGTGGGAGAATCATTGCTCGTACAAGGACACGAAATTCCCAATTCATTCTGTTTTTAGGACAAGATATCTGGTGAGAGGGGATTCTAAAGGTTTTACTTTAATGCTTGAAAACCTTATATAATCATGCAGGCATAACTGACCTAGATAGCCGAGATCGCTAAGTCTGAAGGGACATAGCTCAAAATGTCATGGGTTTGAATCCCACCTCGGAGCAGTGCAATTCGGTAATTGAAACAGCATTGCCCCACAGTGTAATGTGTCGTTGATGTGGTTGATTCAGCAAGAAAATTCTTAAATCTAAATAACAGTGTAATCATATCTGATAATTGTTGTTGCATCTGCAAAACTGGCTATGTGCACTTTTTATGGAAATGAGTTTATTATTCGCCTGATGGCTTAGATCATTACTCAGCGTGCTCACATTCCATGACACGACCCGGGTTCGATTCCTGGTCAGGCAAGATTATAGTGTGTGTTTTTGTTGCTATGTCAATGCACAGTATATGTTGCTGTGTGACGAAGAAAAAATTGACTTCTCAGGTTGAGAAGACCAGAATACAGCGTGGGGATGTCTTTTTTTGTGTGTGTTTTATGTGTTAATGCTAACCACACATACCCCCTTAACCCACGACTGTGAGACCGTGACATCGCTGGTAGGCCATGGCCCATACACAGGCCGATGCGCAAAGTACAAACAAAAACTCTTTTAAAAACCAAAAATCAACTTAGTAATGAAACTTTAATTGTACTTTAAACTTATTTTAATTGTAAGAATAATGGGTTAGCACACATGATACAAAACAACTATTTTGAGTGTTTTATGTCTCTCCTGTAAAATGACATTTACTTCAAATGGCAGCTTGTTCAGGCACAACGATGGTATAAAAGAATGCTATATTGCATTTTAAAAATTCTAATTAACCTGCTTGATTCATCTTTAATGTCACAAACGCATAAGACTTCCATATCTGATATGCAAGTTTTCAACTAGGCAGTGTTATTTGTGATGTACTTTTTTGTACTAGGTAAACCATTAGTTTTGGCAGTGTTGTGTGATATTATTATTATAGCCCATTATAATCCTGTAGAGGGCAAGGGCCACTAGTTCCCGGGCAGGTTACAAAGTGGTAGGATTCCTAAGCGCCCAATTCGGGAACTTCCTTCGATTTATGTGATATGAAAGCATGCAACTATGTAGCAGTTTTTTTATACTCGTGGCAAGTGAAATTGAATGTTGCCTCATTCTCAATGGCACAGCCTGATGTAGAGCAACGGTTTAAAAGGAAGTGTAGGTCTAAGGGCAGACACGACGTACATAAAACATTATTTTAAATTGAGCATTGCAGTAATAATATGTTACTTGTGTTTTTGATGTATGCAAATTTCATTCGTTATAATGATTAATTGTGTATATGTGTATTAACAGTGATTCTAATTTCATTGGGTAATTCAATAGTTTGACTAATTGTGGCATAATGCGATGCACTTTTTGTCCCATTAAGCTGATTGTAGCATATTTTTCTTCAAGAAGTATTTTATATGCAGATTTATTCATCTCTTTGTTTTATCATCAGTGTTCAGTAATGTATGGTTGCTAGTTTGCAACTGAAACTTAATAGACTGGGAAGTTCTAGCTTTGAGTCTTGATAGTGACTGATATTGGACACCAGCTCTAAGTAGCTGGGTTGAGGCCTGCCACTATCAGGATGAGAATTCTAGAGATTGTTTCTTTGATGAGTCATTTCCGAGTTTATTCCAGTCAATTCTAAGCAGATTACACAGTAGTACCTTAAACAATGGGTCGACTGTGTGTGATCCTTTCTTTCCCAACCTGTTTTCATTAACATCCTTTGAGCCTGGTGTTCGGGCCCCATTTCCATATAGCCCCTCTCTCATGATTTCAAAACACAAGTGACAATACTGCCAGTACATGTTAGGACAAAATTCAAACTGGGTAATAGAGCTATCAGAAAAAAATGCAGAAAATAATTATTTTGTTAGTATTATTTGTGTTTCCCATTTTTGACTTGTTTTTCAACATTGCTTGCTTGATTTTCTTATCAATTCATGCTTATCATCAGTTTATTTCCTTAGTCATGTATGCCTCTTACTTTTCAAGCAAGTAAATTTAGAAAGTAAGTGTGTTTACCTTAGAAATGAGGCAAAATTCATTAAATATGTGACAGTCTTTTACATACTGCCAGTGCTAAGATAAGTGACATTCTACATGGTGGTATATTTGGAAAACCATTAAATTAAAGAATATCACATGTATTGTATTTTGAAATATATTGAACATTGGAAGGAAAATAATATGTGTCTGAAGGTGTAGTTGAAGAGTGTTTCAGGACTTAAATTGATTACTTATAGTGTAAATATTTTTCCCTATTTGCAGTATGAAATTTTTTTCATTTGTGTGTGTGTAATTTCAGGAAATTGATCCTAATGCAGGATTTAATGAATTACCTGACGAATACTTTGAAGGTGACACACCATCTTCTATGAAATTAAACAAAGGGGTAATGCAAGAACTTTTGGGAGCCTTCCCTGGTATTGATGAAGCTATGAGTTATGGTGAAGTAATGAAGTACGTCTCGTTACAATCGAAAGTATTCGGTTCACTTGAAAAAGATAATTGTTATTACAAACTTTTCTGCCAGCAATATTATGTGACTTTTTTTTTTCAGACTTGTCAAAGGAATGAATTTTTCAGTGGTAGTTTTTGATACAGCCCCAACTGGACATACTTTAAGGCTATTGTCATTTCCCCAAGTTATAGAAAAGAATCTTGGTAAACTGATTCGCTTGAAAATGAAAATTGGTCCTATTGTTCAGCAAGTATGTTTATCATTGATTCAAATGGTTCTTGTATTTTTGACATTGATTTAGAACTAATTTCTTTTTTTTTCTTTATAGATGGGTGCTATATTGGGATTAAATGATTTTAATCCTGATTCATTTTCTTGTAAACTAGAAGAAATGTTGAGCATTATTCGACAAGTGAATGAGCAGTTTCGTGACCCAGTAAGTGTATTTACTTTACATGCTACATTTCACAACAAATCAGCTTGTTAAAAGAAATTGATCTTCACAAACATTTCGGATGATTCAGTTCCAGAAGGAAGTGAATCAGACTGTAGTTGCACATTTTATCTCTTAGACAATGCAGGGGTGAACCTTCATATATAGTATTTCACTTTCAATTTCATTGAAACTAGTAAAACCTTTCCATGTAGTACTATGTAGTATATAATGGGGAAAATATTTATTTATGACCTTTCTTGCCAATTTTCCAAAAAATAAATTTACAACATTTTCTCAAAAAAGGCTCATTTTAAAATTTGTTTCGAAGATAGAAAATAGTGCACTGAATTATAGCACAAGTATTATTTTCATGTAAACCTTTGAAACTTACATCAAAGTGTACATGCCCTATTATCTCTGAGGTAAATCGAGATATGGCAAAGAGTGAATAGTACATTCCTTTTTCCACCGAAGTACCTGAATAGATAAAAATAAAAATTCTTAACATTCAAAAATGAGTAAAAAAAAGTCCTGAAAGAATTCAGTTCCCCACACAATAGATGTAATTCATCCAACTATCCCTTCTGATTAGTTCCGTGTTCCCATATCATTTTAATTTCTTGAATATACTGTAGAGTAAATGAAATTTAAGTAATGGTGCAGAAGAAAGTGACTTTTTTGACAGCAAAACATGTTTTGAGGGTCTGTGATACCCAAAAAGTTCATTTTTCTTGCTCCTATTCATAGAATTTTACTTTTATTCTATATGTAATATTCTGAAAACAAATAAGGTTTTTATACCAAAAAATGTTTCATCTCAAAATAGGCCTAATATCTAACTAGCTCATAAACAATACACTAGATTTTCACCATAATGGATATTTCCAAATTAATCTGGATGTTACAATCCTTCAAATTCAAAAATAATATTTAAATATAAATTTTAAATATAAATCGCTTCTCGGCCTTTTGGCTAAGATCAAAGTGTAGTAAAGTGTTTTTGGGGACATTCCAGTTATATTTTTTCTGGGACATTTAGCAATCCAGCAAATTTTAACAGGGGTAGGGGTGCTGGCCCTATGCCCTAACTCCCAACATGGAGGACAGGGGATTTCTTCTTCGAGGTTACTTTCCCCTAGACAGGCTGGCTTCCCTCCCACCTACAGAGCCCTGCTCACCCTTACCCCAAGGGAAGGGAGGGATGAAGGAGCAGGTGGGAAAGGTAAAGGAATGGAAATATGCCGAAATGGCTGATAGATCGTTGAGGGATACCTTCATATGACGCCTCCACTAGAGCCAATCCGGCTAGAGTAGCTACGCTACTGCCGGCTTAGCCCCTGATTTCATAGGAGCACGCAAGCTTTCCCGCCCGCACAAACAGTGCTACTACAAGACTGCAAGACTGTATCGTACGGGGAGCGGCTTTAGAGCTAGTGGCAGATAAACGGTTTGCCCATAATTTAGAAACTCTCCTGGTATTCATTGATTTAAAAAAAACCTTTCAACACAGTTCCATTAAATAAACTCTGGATGGCAATGAAGAAACAAGATGTTAAGATGTACTTATTAAAAGCTGTTAAAGTAAGTCAATGTAAGAAATGCAAGTCCGATTAAAATTGGAAGAAATATTTCCAAACCGTTTTCTGTAAGGCTTATAGCAAGAGTGTTGCATAACTCCTACTCTCTTTAAATTATATTTAAACAAAGCTTTAAAAAACTGGAGGAAAAATGTTGCAATCCGGGTGTTAAAAAAAAAAGATGTTTTCTTGTTCTATTATCTTAATTATGCAGACGGCCAAGTCATCTCCGCTGAGGAGGAAGATGATGTTTTGTATATGTTGCAAAAACTTCATGAAGAGTTCTTATCGTATTTACCAGAATAAAAGATGGGTTTTACTCTTTCTTTTTTTCCTTCAAATATGTCAGTCGAAAAATACGAGGTTGTTTTGTGTTCGCAGATTAAGCATAGTCGGTTATAATTTAAGTTTTTACATTGCCATTCCTTGTTACGAAACTCGTAAATGTAATAATTAACTGCGATGACAGAAAAGATATCGTGCGTATGTAATTATATTCGCGTTCATATTGTGGGCAGCCACCGCGAATGTGTAAGGCATTTCAGACCGATATTTTTAAATGGGTCGCTAAAGAGAATATCAAACCGAATTGCATTTTATGAAATGAAACGTAACGTAACTTGAAAATGAATGCCGTTAGTTTGTTACCCGATGCTGATTCGACAAGGCCGCGCAGAATCTCTGTTCGACGCCAGCCAAATGCAAATCTGGTGTTTGGGAATTATCAAAATATTATGAGAATAAACTTACAGCAATGGAAATGGACTATTGGCGAAGAAGCTGTGGACTGACATTGTTGGACAAAGTAAGAAACAAAGAAATTAAAAGAAAAGCAGAAGTGAGTTTAATTATGAATACTAAAGAAATTAAAAGGCTCAAATATTATGATCACTTGAGCAGAATGAGTGAAGAATGATGGCCTCTAAAGTTCTGGAATTGTAAACCAACATCACCCAGAAGACAAAGGTACAGAAGTACATGAAAGCAGGTGATGGCTAGAAGAATATTAACTGCAGATGGAATGGGGATGGAAGAGGCGTCTAGTAATGTAAAATACCGTCAGTACTACTACTATATTAGGGAATACTTTACATGAACTATGACATTTTTCAATTGATTTTTTAAATGCCTCTAATTTTTTCTTCAAAGTTTTCATATAAAAATAGTCCAAGTCTGATTTTTAGTAATATCTATGAATTTTTGGAAATATCCTAAGGGCTCATGCAAGTACCCCCAAACATTAAAATATCTGTTTCAAATTTGCTGAGCTGCAAGTTCAGCCAAATTGATTGATGGATCAATTTTGGAGAAATCCTTTGTATATTAAGGTGCTAGTGTTGTTGAGGTGTGTGTTTTAGGGGAAAGCTACACTTTTTGTGTGTGAGGAATCTCAAAACTACATTTCCATCAAAATCTCAACCGTGATTTTTTACTTACAAAAACAATTGATTAAAAGAAATTTCTTTTTAATTTTTAATGTAGGCAGAAGTACAATCTTGTGTCTAATGCTTGTGTGATGAGGGAGTCAGGGATGTGTAATATCTCTAAAGAATTTTTTGAGACCTTTACTATAGGATTTAATATTTTGTTAATATTTATATACACAGTGTATTTGAAATAATATAAGTTTATTTTATTTATGTTAAAACTATTTCTATATTAAATTTTCTGCCTGTATATTAATTAGTGAAAGCAATTACATTTTTTGTATTAAAAATGAGTATGACACATTTATAGATCCAATAATACGATGTCAGTGAATAAACAAATTAACTGAAGTTACTACAAACATTTACATCATGTATTGTCTCATGGTGATCTCAACTTCTTCAATTTTAGAATGTTCAATGTTTGTTACTGTGAACTTTTAAGTTAGTTAATTAATTTGTGCATTTTATTTATTATAATGATTGCTTGCTGTAGAAAAGGCAAAATTTTAAAAATATTTTATGAAAAAATAACAGAAAAAGTGCAGGTGTTTTATAATAGTGATTTTTTTCAATTAATTCAAAAATTGATCATTTGATTTAAATTATCATTATTTAGTCAGAAGTTGTTTGGATTTCCTTGAATTAACTTCAGGACAGTCATTAAAAATTGGTGATAGGTCTCAAAAAGTCTGAGGAATTTGTTACCAAACTTTGTTGCCATTCTCTAATTACTTTTTATATTTCCTAATTGGCTTTTTATTTTTTTATTGTATGTTTATTATTTTAAAAGTGTAAAACTTAAGAGTTAAAAGAATTGACAAAATCTAATTCACATTTTTTTATAACACTAATGTATTGTTATCAGAGTAATATACTATGTAATACTATAAAAGATACTATAGATATCAAAAATAGCATAATTAGAAATAAATTTTTACAGAGATAAATCGAGAAAGTGACATTGCTGATACAACTTGGGCTAATGCTTGTATTTTGTAGGACCAGACAACATTTGTTTGTGTGTGTATTGCGGAGTTCCTATCCCTTTATGAAACAGAACGATTAGTTCAAGAATTGACAAAGTGTGGTATTGACACTCACAACATAATTGTAAATCAATTATTATTTCCTGAGCCTGGAGCTAAACCATGTCGTATGTGTGCTTCAAGACATCGTGTACAAGAAAAATATCTAGATCAGGTAATGATTTTATTTATATTATTTATATATATAATCTTTTTATATTTGCGTTTCATACGCATAGCCTGCTACCAAACTTTCTTGTTGTTCTTGTAATGATTTTCTCCCAACCCAATCTCCCATTTTATTGCTTTGCATTTTAAAATGTATTACAATAAGTGATATTTAAGTACTAGTGATACAGATGTTTAGCAATATATTACAATCATTTCTGTATGTTTGCGTTGAAATATCTTTAGTTTCTGAGGTACTGCAAGACCATACACATTTCCATTTTCTGAACTTTCCATATCGACACAGGTACCCACATCCAATTTTTGAAGAACTAGTTCAAAATTCACTATATTGCTTCAATTGCATAACTGTTCTCTACATGAACACACTAAAATGTGATTATGGACAGGCCAGATTGTAAGAGAACACTGGAGTTCCTCTGTAGTGATTGTGCATGAGAAGAGTGTCAAATTTTTTTGTAAACATCCGTTAAGTGTTGAAAAATGTAACTATTTGTAAAGATTCACAATGGTTCTAATAATAAAAATTCTAAATGATGAAGCAGTAACTCCTTACCTAATCAAACATGGGGGGGATGTTGGTGTTCACTATTGATTACCCCATGTGACTGTTAATAGTGGTTTATTCTAATAGTTTGATTCTTCTATTATAGATTTCCATGAAACATTGTGTAATGAGTTGTTTTTTTTAAACTTTAATCCCTTGCTACCTATTTGTTGTAAAGAGAAAGTTTTGTAATGCTGCTTTCGAAATCAATGATTTTTCATTAGAGAGACTTATTGCAGAAATCAGGTAACATAAAAGTGGATAAGTCTTCCTACATGTAGTAAATTACTTCTTCTGTCATGTTGTGTTCTCAGAATACATGAATACGTGGCCTTGATACCGAAAAATCAATTGACCGCAAAACGACAGCCACTCCATCTGTGGTTTACGCCATTCATATGATTTTCTTCAAAATTGATATTCCCTAATCAAACTAAATGCACTTGAAGCTCCGTTTGTTTAAAGCAGATATTTTGATTTTTGGGGATAATTTACATGTAGCCTCAACATTTCCAATTTTTTTTCAGAAATGACTCCAAATTATTTGAATAAACTTTGTCCTCTGATAACATAAAAATTAATTAAGAAAAATATCTCTATCAATATTTACAACGTTGGTTTTTTGTTTGCAATTTTCAAAAAGTTCACCGAAAATGGGCCTAAAAAATAGGTCATGTCATATGTTCACTAAAATCTCTAAATTTTCAAAAATTGCAGAAGTTCAAATTTTTTTTTGGTGACTTCCTCTATTTTTGTTCCTTCACGCAAAGTATTGTTGAAAGATTGATCTTAAAATAAGGTTATGTATAATTTTTCTTGAAAATGAGTAGTTTTCTGAAACAGGCAATTTTTAAACAATTATATTTTCAAAAACAACTTCACTTTTTTTCCTTGGATGGAGCAACAGATAGAGGACACTTAAAAAATGACATTGGACCCGGTGAACATTTTGAAAATTGCAAACAAAAAATCAATGTTGTAAATATTGATGATAGAGATATTTTCCTTAATTAATTATGTTCCTTAAAATTAGATCTTAAAATAATTCAATTGAAATTTTTTAAAAATTGAATTGTAAATATTCCTTTTTTTAAACATCCAGTTTTGTTGTGAATTTGGTAGTGTAGGGGTATCGTGAAAAGCATGCTAATTCTAGAAGCTTAAGCTCAAATCCCAGCATGGAGAAAACATTTTTGCAGGTTGGAAACACTATATCAGTTTCGTGTAGCTATTACAAAGAACTTGAGAAAGTTTGTGCTCCATTAGTTTTTCTTTGTGAAAGAACTGGATTGTAATGATTGGTTGAAGACTTTGTTGCTTATATAGTTTTATTTAATAATCTTTGTTTCAGATTGCAGATTTATATGAAGATTTCCATGTGATAAAATTGCCTTTATTGGATCATGAAGTTAGAGGTGTTGAGCAGGTGAAAGAGTTTTCTCAACATTTAGTCAAAGCGTATTCCAAGACTCCAGAATCCTAATACCTTGTGTCTGAAGTATGAGGTATGAAATATACAATAGAAGAATTATGTGTAATTCTGGAAAAAGGAACTTTTGAATTGGTGGTACCATGATAGTGTGGGTCAACAAATAACAAAACAACAATTTGTTACCAATTGGATTGTATTCTTGCGAATGGTGGTTAATTTCAGTAATGTTTGTTATTGCCCGGACTGATTTTTGACATTGGTGAAGTTGAAATTCGCGTCTGAGGAATGGATTGTCCACTTTTCCTTGTATCATATTTAATAAAGAAACCTACTAATATAACTTATAATAAATAAATTTGTTGTGCAATTCAATATGAAAGTGCAGACAACTCAGTATGATTTTATTTAATTTCCAGGTTAGACTGAATACCTAAAATTAAACATTTTGCATATTTTTAAGCTGTACTTCATTTTTTCCTTAATGTACTGCATTGCAAGGTTCAGATAAATTGAGAGACATTTCAAAATGGCCTGGTGTCTTGCCATTCCTCCCTACCCACTTTCTTACTTGTAAAAATATCTAATAGTTATAAGAGAAAGTTTCCGGAGTGGTAGGCGGTGGTCCAGTTGGCATTGAAAGGCCAAACGTTTCGCCCACGACTACAGTAGACATCTTCAGTGAAGGCAGGGTCACGGGTGCAGTATCCGGGTCGGCGGCTCGCTGGCGCTTGCCAGCCACTGACCCTGATACTGTGCCTGCAACCATGCCGCCACTGATGACGTCCACCATAGTCGTGAACAGAAAGTTTGACCCTTCAATGCCAACTAGACCATGGCCTACCAGCCCAGAAACCTTCTCTTATATTTACTTCATCCGTGAAAGCCTACCATGCTATATCATCTAAAAATTAGTGGGAATTTTGTTATTTCTCTGCACTTATGGAAACCACTATTTACCTTTACTGTTTCATTTGGAAATGGTTACTTGGCAGTATGTATATGACAAAATAGACGTTGCTATATGCATATCATGAAAATGCCATGGCTAGGATACTGCAAAGTAAACAAAACACTGTGGTGACATGAATCAACATGGCTGCCATCTCGCATATCGAGAATGATCCTAAAAGTAGTGGATGAAAGTGTCTTTGGCGTACTCATTTCACTCGGGTCCTATCATCTCCACGTCCATCAACATTTCTTTTATATGCCAAAATCTCACTTTTTATACTAGTTACATAAAAACTATTTGCTTATTTTTTCTGCTAATGCATATCATAGACCTCATGTGTGTTGTTTTGCCTTGTAATAAACCACTAGATCCTGAATTAATAAGCATAATCAAATTATAAAATAAGTAAGCAAATAAGTGCAGAAAATTGACAAATAAGCACCAAAAAAATGAAAATGAAATAAATTATTTGTTCCATAGAAATTTTACGTTTTTCAATGCTGTACAGCAGGCTTGCACAATGCCTGCTCCTGCAAGTAGTGGGCTGTAGGCACCTTGGGGAGAGGGGAGAAGTGGGAGTAGTGACCCATACATTGAATGACTGGGCGTCTAATGCAATGATTCATGCTGTAAAATGATTTGCTCACTTATTTAAATGAGTAATCTACCGTATTTCTAGCTACAAAGGCCATATTTCACTGTTTATGTTCTTGTGTGCACTGCTTTGTATCAACTTTTTCTTTAACTCAAAAATCGTATTTTAAATCAGTGGCCTCTTTTAAAAATTTATTATGTACTTTTAACTAATAAAAATTTACAATTTAATTATGGATTTTTCACCAAGAATGTTATGATCTCCAAATGATAGTAAAACGAAAGAAATTGAGAGCAGTCTCTCGCAGCAACATTGATACACAGATGAAATACAGGCTATTCCAAGAAGGGTAATGTTTTGCATCACATATTTTTGTGACCATTTTCCCTCATGATGAAGCTGAATAAGAGATATCAGCGAGAAAACTTTTTATGATATTTTACATGCAATCATGACATTATTATGACTCTTGTTAAAAAGAACGCAAAGGGCTTAATCTTTTTAGATGATAATGAATAAATAGTGTTCGTCAGAAATTAAAGTAATCATGATATTCTAAGAATCCTTTTTTTTTAGCTTCGATAGAACCGTCTTTGTCAATTAAACATAAGTAATGAAAAAATTATTTATATCCTCGGCAAACAAAAAAAGCTTCAGTATTTGGTATTTAGCAGCACACTAAATTTCTGATTGCATTGTAGAGCTCGAAACAAATAACATTATCAGCTCTACAGGCAATTGTAATACTGTTATCCAAATCAAATATGTATGTATAATTCATTTTAGGTTCACATTGTCATACATTGACAACAAACATTTCTAATATAACAAGTAATAAAACTTGATCTGTATGTAATAGTTCATCTTTCTTGCAATTGCTCTTTCAATTTACATGCTACGGTTCGTATTGCGCATTCTCTTTGGCGGTCCCCACTCCTAGAATGAGTCTTATCCCCATCCAACCACATGGCCCAGGTTTGCACGTACAAGTTGCTCACATACGGCTTTTGAGGTCAGTGAAAAATGCTGTGCGGGCCTGCTGTACAGTGTTACAGCAGTTAAGGAAGGTCAATCTAAGATTTTCTTGTGAGAATCTGTTACGTCTGTTCAAAGAGTGATTTGTATAGTGAAAATGATTTTCAATGTTGCAAGATGTCGCAGGTGCATGTGAGAAGCACTACAGTTCTTCATTAGTGAATTCTTTTTAGAAATTTGATGCAATGCATTGGCCAGGATTTTCCAGTAATATCTTAACTGGTAAGAAATTTTAGCAACCTGCGATTTCCTGAAGTTGATATTACTGTAAACTGTCTCAAGTTTTTCAGAGGCATTCCTCAATTCGAGTACTATACACTAATGATCATTAGCTTATATAATCGAAATACACGTGAAATTCCTGAAGGCCATTTTTTAAAATGTTTTTTATTAATTTATATTGCTAAGTCTAATTTTTTATATTTTTTTAATTAGTGAAATCTTTGCTGTCCTTGAGTTTGGGTGTACTAAATAATTGTTTTTAAACTGAGTCCACCTTTAACCCATCATAAAGCCATCTTTAGATTTGAGTTTTGTTGTTCTTAAGAAAGTATTACATATTAATATGTGTTAAAAAATAATCTAGGTTTTTGTCTCGTATCTAACAAAAGATAATGAGACAAATTTAATAGAATCCTGAACTTCATTTATCTCAAAACATGCTTTTTGGATTCATATTAATTCATGGATTCATTCATATTAAGAGAACTTGGAACAATGCAAGAGGCCCAAATAACTCAAAACATCAGATTATTTTACAGCTTCATGAGTCTGGGATTCACCAACCACTGCACATGATGCACCCCTTTTTTCTTCTCCCCACCCCCCAATTTATTCATATTCAAGCTTTGTTTCACGCATTTAAATGGTTAAATTTTTATGAACTGTTGGTGGAAAAGGTAAATGAAGCTGTGATGATGGTGTCTCTGAGTGAAACTTGTACTCTAAATAAAACCATTTTGTGTAAAATATAGTATTTCAATTCAATTCCATCCAGTAGCAAGCAAAATCATCTTAAAACAAGCATTTATAAGCACTATCAAACAAGGCTAAAATTATTTGTCAAAGTGTCATTTACAAAGGATAACCTTATTGCGTATCTTTAAAAGTATGGAAATGAATGGGCATTTTGCCTAGAAATCTGGGCTCTAATTGTCATGTATAAGCGAATGAGACATTTTTCTTTATTCTAAAGTTTGTAATTCAGAGATTATTCATTTATGAAAGAAAATAATTATTTAGAAACTGGCTTACCTTGAGGTACATTCTGCTCAGTACTTTCCATACATAATGAAAGAATTTAAAATACTTTCATCAGTGTATTTCAAGAGCTGTTGATAACTGTGTACATCCAAATTGAAGAGAAGAAACAATACTCAAATGAGTACAATATTGAAGTATCAGATGCACTGAATGTGATGCTTTTACCAATACAATTGATAGAAATGATTAAGAAGAGATTTAATTTAGTCTTGTAGCATCAACTTTTTTCCCCCCACAATTCCATTAAGTTGAATATTCCTTTTGCAGTGGTAATGAAACATTGAATTCCAACTTTTCTTTTTATTTGGGATAATCTTTACAGAAAGTTTCCTATTTCTCATCCTGTTGATATTTTCCTACACGGAAATTCTGATGAATATAGTAATTGAACTTGTGAGAAGAGTATAGTCAGCATCCTTGTTTTTGTGTACAGAAATTTGTAGACATTAAACCATATTATATTGTGACAAGTTGGAGGCTTTTACAAACCTGATGTTATAGTTTACCCCAATTAAAATGTATATGAACAAGGAGACTTATACAAAATGAATGTGTAAAATTTCCCCAAATGGCATAAAATGCACTGAATTAAATTCTTTTTCTACCTTACTATACAGTTGTGCAAATCGCTAATTAATAATATGTGTCATACGAATTTCAAAAACATGTATTATGAATGACTTTCTCTTCCTATTGCAATCTTGCCAAGTGGGGGGCGGGAGGTAGTCATGACAGGTGGTTTGGTTCTTGTGGCCTTTTGAATTTAAAGTGTTGTGCCAATGTTAAAATTATTGATTCATTTTCTCAGAACTGGCAAAAAATCGTAAGTCAGTCATTTTAGCGTATGTAAGAAAATTTATTTTTGCATGTTTGTGTACCAGTGGCACCTAACGCTTGCTTATTATTGAGTTTACTAAATATTCTGAATGATTTAGAATCATTTTTATTTTACATACTTTTACATATTTGGGTAATTTCACAATTTTTTACGCATTTTACCTAAAACTACAAGTCTTACATATTTCATTTCATTTATATATATTTACTGTACTTTGAAGCAGATGATTTCAGGTGCGAGTTTGCTATATAGGTTACTGGAATCATCTTCCTTTCAAAGCAAAGTATTGCTATCACACTTCTATGACCACCGGAGACCTATGCCATATTTGTCAACTCCCCCCCCCCCCCTGCCTTCTTGCAAACCATTCTCGGAATCAAACATGAACAGGTGTTTGTGCAGCAGAAGTAATTTCACTTGCTTGCTCATGTTTCATAGAACCCTTGTGTAACTCGACCAAAAACTTAACGTGTACGAGTATTTTTTTTTTAATTTAAGGTCGCATCAACATATAGATCATTAGCGACCATTACAAATGATTGTCTTGCCGCTGTAATGAACTTGAGGGAAGGAGTATGTTCTCTTTAACGTCCTCTTCCCCGCCCCTGCGGGGACCATCACTGGCTACACGATTCTGCTGTTTACTTGAGCACCAGCTCCACGCTCATTGTATACACAACAGACGAATTGATATTTCGAATAAAACTTCTGCGGTGAAAACTAGAGTTCAATTACTTCTGAAGAGATTACCTTTCTTTCGTCCGCTCAGAATCCACGATAAAATCTGATTGACAACTTTCTGTGCTTGAAAAAGCTTGAGGAAAGTCATTGTAAACACTGTAATGCATTTTATTTTACATATTTTCTATTTTTACTGTGTAATTTGGAAAAACATATATACGTATACGCACATTTATTTATTACATGTATAATTTTTTTATTACAATACATTCAGTTTTCTATTTATAAGAGTTATGGCCTGTGCAGATTACCCGTCGGTTGGTACAGACAGGTGTCTGCTAGAAACGAACAAAATCCTAAAGGGTCCTCTAGTCCATAGTGGAAAGATGGGTGACGTATTGTGCATCATGTCGGACTTCAGCCAATGAGCTTCAGGCAATAGTTTGCGTCACAATATTAATGGGAATTTTAAATGCAGCCTGATACCAAAATTATCACCTTGTTACAAGACATTGAAACAGATACATGAAGCATTTTTAAAAATATTGCGTCTTTTATTTCAATTACACCCTCATCATGTTATTTTTCATTGAAAATTGTCACTTGTTACCACTTTTCAGAGTTCGCTCATACTTAAAAAAAAATTATTTTAGCCATCTGCACATTCCATTAGTAGGTAGGGGGTATTAGTTTGTTAAGTAACATTGATATTTATATTTTGAATTTTTCAATATTTCCTGAAATAATTTCTTTTTTAGTCATGTAGTAAAACAATAACTAATTACTTAATTTAAAAAAGTTAAAGTTATTAGATGGAAATTGTTACAATAAATGGAATTTTTTGATAACTTTGTATTAAATCTGTAACTTTACGGAGAAAATATTTATAATTAATATGTAGTACATTCTAGAATCTATTTAAATTGGCGGAGTAGACTCTCTCCCATATGTCATCCGTGACAGTGTGCACAGCTTGAGATCAAGAACTTTTCTCGCCAATGCGTCCTCCTTCACTCACAACTTGCCCCCATCCTGTTGTTAGGTGCAGGCAGCTACATCATTAATTCAGACATCAGTTACCAAAAATGTTAATAAACGACAGAAATAAGATGAATACAAATTGTTTTTACTGTGCCATAATTTATTTTCACTTCTTGGATTTACATGGGGGGGGTAACAAGCGGTACGTTATTATTTAGCGGGTGTGAAGCGCGCATTACGGGTGCGTTTAAGGAGGAGAGCAGGTATTCAAAATACTCTCAATTTTTGGACTGCCCCTCAACACTTCATTGCTCTCCATGGAACATGGCAGCTAGTGTCTGATATGGCTTTCCAAACGAAGTGGCCTTATTATGGTCACATGGTTCGTGACAAACTGATGCTGCCTAAAACAAGCAAAATTAGGGCCAAAGA